GTAAGACCTGAAACAGAAGCAAGCAGAGGCACACACAGGCAAAAACAGAAAAGCAGAAAATAAACCCAACACACGATTTTTACGTGGTTTCCAGTATTGGGAGAATGAGGATCCCAATACTGACTACTCCACGGTCAGAGAATCACGGTTGTGTGATCTCTGACGATTCACTATGATATAGCGTTGACGTTCTTCGTTACAAGCAATCTACCCAAGAGCCCTTTGATCAATCTCTACCCGATTGATCTAACTCTCTTTTCTCAAACCCGAATTGCTTCCCCAGCAACTCGAAACCAGTGTTTCCCCATCACTAACCCTCAAAGCAATTCTCCCCGAACCCTTTGAGAAACCCCTTTCCTATCACTCTAGCTATTCTCACAAAATCCCCTTTTGGCTTAGCTAGTTTTGATCTCTTGAAAGGTTGATTTTGTTCTTCCTTCAAATCGCCTTTTATAGGCTGCAATGTAGCTGTTGAGAATTTGAATTCCCTTGAAATCTTCAAGCATGGCAAGTTCTTATTCTTTCTTCTTTTGACCCGAAAACTTGCCTTAACTGTTTTTGAGCAGCCACTGATTTTTCACCTTGATTTGATTCTTGTCTTGGCCATCAAGAAGTTCTGCCATTTTCAAGTTGATGCCAACATTAACTAGTGTCCCCTTATCCTTCAAATCCCCAGTTGAGTTAGGTGATTGAGCACTTGTAGGAATTAGAACGAAATCTCTTCCCGAGACTACCTCCTTTCTCGTTTAGACAACTAATTAATGAGCCCCAAAGAAGTTGACACGCTCCCCATAGTAAAATATTGTTTTCACAGCTTCAAGAAATACCATCATTGTTCTCTCAAGTTGGTCTATTCGATCTTTGAGTTCTTGATTACCAGATCTTGAGTTATCGACCATTGTTCGACTAACTTCTCTTTCCATATCTGCACACACTTAGTAAAACTCGTGAATGGCTAAAGTAAAAAAGGCTAAAGTAGTAATGTCATCCTTTTACAAAATAACCCTAGGGTCCCCGACAACAGTGCCAAAAACTTGATTGCTGCTGTAACATCCTTATCCTCATAAGTATAATTTTATTAAAATGACGTCATTAATGACGAGAATAATCATATCGTCCCATAAGCATGAAATTGAGTGATGATGGTGATATAGGGTATTAGTGAACTGATTAGTGATTGTTTAAATTAGTATGTGAATTGTTAGTGTTTAATTTATGGGTGATGGACATAATTGTAGAAAAATGAAAGATTGTGGGTGGTGTGGCAACCAACTTTTGTTGGTGCCATGTGTTTGGTTTGGATGGAAGAAGAGTATGAGAAAGAGAAGAGAGTTCTAGAGACAAGGGGAAAGTGAAAAATCTATACCCCTCCTCCCTCTCACTTATCTCTTTAGTCATTCTTCTTCTTTCCTTCTTCCTTTCTCTCCCATACGCCACCACCATCTTCACCACCCTATCATCTTCCCATCTAAATATTCTGAAAATCTAAGATAACTACGGCAAGGATTGGAGCTAGAAGCAAGGGAAGAAAGTATTGAAGTGGTAAGGAATCCTCCATATTATAGCTTCTTCCTCTTCCTCAAGTTTAGAATAACAGTCTAGGATAAGGAACTCTTGGTATTGGATTGGGTACTTGAGTCTCCTTTGATTTCTCCTCATCTTCAATTTTGATTTCAACGGGGGTTGCTCCTTTTTCCGAAGTAGTTCTTCTTCTTGAGCGACTTCACGTTGAACCTCTCTTATCGAAATTCTTGGAGTTGAGATAGGGATCTCCTTCAAGGGTCGGCCACTCCTTAGAGTTACCGCGTGACATCCTTCCTTTGGGTTATAGCCATTGAAAATAACTTGCACGGATTGAATCTGTTTGACCCATCTAACTCAGGATGCGAACAATGATATTTGTTGGTGTGGGGTCGACTCACGATCCGTTCGTCTGATCTCGTCGGGAGGGAAATGACCTGTGAAAGAGTCGGGGTTGCCCCCCGGATTAAGCTCCGACGGTCAAGTTAGTGTCTGTTCGTGGAGAGAGTTGAGAGAATAGATAGAGAGATAAAGTATAGAGAGATAGTAGAAAGTGTAAAGTGAGGAGCGAGGACCAGTCCCTTTCTTTGGAGGGCTTCAAGCCCTTATATACCTGTAGCGGGTATCGAGCGTTGGGCATCGCCGATTATGCGCCCTACTGCTTAGTCTGTGCGCTCTGTCCCTTAGTAACACCCCCAACAATTGCCCCCCAAGCTGGTGGTGAGTTTTAATTCATCACTAGCTTATATTTTATTTTTTAAATCTTTGTCGGTAATTTTGGGTGGGGCCTATGTACCCCAATTGCCCCCCAGCTGGTGGCGCGTTTGAGTGACGCGGCGCCAGCTTCTTGCGTCTTGCCCCCCATTAGCGCCATTAACGCTTAGGATAGTAAAATATTTTAAAAATTTAATAATGATGGAGGGATAGAGTACTTAGCTTTATATTGGCAGTGGCGGCAGGAGTAGTTGAAAGGCGGGCGCTGCGCCGTTGAAACAGAACCTGAGTGGTAGCCTGCAGGTTGTTCTTTCGAACTGGGCGCGAATAGTGCTGGACTATTGCTAATTTTTGTTCTTTCGAACTAGGCGCGAATAGTGCTGGACTATTGCTAATTTTTTGTTCCGTGGAACTGGGCGCGAATAGTGCTGGACTATTGCTAATTGTTGTTCTTTCGAACTAGGCGCGAATAGTGCTGGACTATTGCTAATTTTTTGTTCCGTGGAACTGGGCGCAGAGTGCTGGACTCATACTAATTTTTTGTTCTTTCGAACTGATTGGGCGCGAATAGTGCTGGACTATTGCTAAGTTTTGTTCCGTGGAACTGGGCGCAGAATGCTGGACTCATACTAAATTTTTTTTTTTTTGTTCTTTCGAACTGATTGGGCGCGAATGTTAAAATTCAGACGCCACACCGTTGAAACACAAGGTACTTGTGGCCTGCTGGTAAAGATGCTTGTCTTGTGGAAGAGTGGCGCAGGTTCAAAGGCTGGCGGCGACAATAATTTTTTGTGGAAGAGTTAAGCGCCTGTTGGGCCGGGCATGTGAACGAAGCGGGCCGATCCGCGTGGAATAGCGAGAGGGATGGGAGTGAGGGCCGTGACTGTGGGCGGACTTCGATTCATGAGTGCGGGCCGCGACTCGGGCTGGCGCGAGCAAAAGGGTAAGATCAACCTTCCGCGCTCAATTGACAACTATTGTTGCGTAGTCCACTGGTTCCGTTTGCTTGCACGCGAATGGTTGGTCAGCGGTTCGACGCCTGTCTACCACCCACGATTTTTTTTGGGGTGCCTCGCGCACGACTGAAGGGTGGAGCGGGCCGCGAGTGGGTTTGAGGCGGAAGGTGGGACGCGAGTTGGGCCGCCTGTGAGTCGGGCCGCGAGTGCGCTTGGGCGCGAGCAAGGGTGCAGGAGGTTTTAAGTTGGCCGCGCGCCATTGAAACACAAGGTGTGCTTGTAACCTGCTGGTAAGGATGCTCGTCTTGTGGAAGGGTGGCGCGGGTTCGAATCCCTGTGGCGACAATAATTTTTTGAAGCGAAGCGGAGCTTGGGGACGCGAGTTGTGTGCGGGCCCATCTTGCCGCGCGCTTGTGAACAAGGAGCGAGCCCATGTGGTATGGCGGGTTGTCACGCGGGCTTGAGGACGCGACGGCCCATGTTGCGCGTCTTGTGGGGCGGCGGCGGTTGAGTCCGCATCAAGTGGTGGGCTTAATTGATCCGCCGCGGAGTGGAGCCCTGACCTGGCGGGGCGCGAGCTGTGTGTGGGCCCAGATGGGGTAAGGTGGGCTGTAGACTTGCACGCGAGTCTGGGCCGCGAGTGGAGGTGTGGAGCGGGCTTAAGAGGCGGGGGATGCGCCTGTGGAGATGGGCTGGTGGGAGGCTGATGAGCGGCGGGCCCACATTGAGAACAGCAGCGCTTAGCATAATGTCCGGCGCATTTTGCTCCATTTTCACCTTTTTTTTTTTTTTTTTTTTTTTTTTTTAGTGGGCAAGTGGCCACATTGAGAACTGCACCTGTCTTTTCTTCTGACGGAGAGAGAAATTGATTTGACTATTCCCCCTTTTTGATTTGCCGAGACCACTACTTGTACTTGAGTAGTCCACCTTTTTCAGAGGTCGGCGACAGAACGGGAGGGTGGCGACGTGACAGCAGCAACTGCAGTGACAACTTCTTCTTCGCGTCGTCGGGGCTCCGACCTTGACATGTCGCGGCGACCAGATTTTCTTTCTTTCCAGCTGCTACTGCCTGTGGTTCGCGGAGGAAAGTCCCTTCATGGGGAAGAGGAAGTCGGCGGTGGACCCAGCTGCAAGCTGCTTCTTCAGATCGGCGATCTCCTTCGCCTTGGCGCCGGCGGTGACGACTTCTTCTTCGCGCCGTCGGAGCTCCGACCTTGACATGTCGCGGCGACCAGATTTTCTTTCTTCTTCCCAGCTGCTACTACCTGTGGTTCGCGGAGGAAAGTCCCTCCATGGGGAAGAGGAAGTCGGCGGTGAGTGTCTTGGAGGAGGAGCAGCCGCCGGCCAAAATCTGTAAATTTTACAGTGTTGTTTCTTCGATTGGATCTGGTTTGTCTCGGAAGGTGACGAGGGCGCTCCGGAGAGAGGCAGATCTGATTGAATTGACGAGGAAGACAGATGAGGAGAGGCTCTGCTAGTCTTCTTTTGATTTTTGAGAGTTGATCGACTTTTCTTCTTGTTCGAGCAAAAGAAGATATCCCTGGATCTTGGTGGAATTTCGTTGCTCAAGCTCTTTCCCCTGTTTTTAGTTTCCGCTGCTTGCAGTGATCGATGAAGAATCTGCCTTCCCTTCTTTTGAGTCCGACGAACGAGTGTGTAGCCTGCCCCACGGTGGGCGCCAATTGTTTGACCCATCTAACTCAGGATGCGAACAATGATATTTGTTGGTGTGGGGTCGACTCACGATCCGTTCGTCTGATCTCGTCGGGAGGGAAATGACCTGTGAAAGAGTCGGGGTTGCCCCCCGGATTAAGCTCCGACGGTCAAGTTAGTGTCTGTTCGTGGAGAGAGTTGAGAGAATAGATAGAGAGATAAAGTATAGAGAGATAGTAGAAAGTGTAAAGTGAGGAGCGAGGACCAGTCCCTTTCTTTGGAGGGCTTCAAGCCCTTATATACCTGTAGCGGGTATCGAGCGTTGGGCATCGCCGATTATGCGCCCTACTGCTTAGTCTGTGCGCTCTGTCCCTTAGTAACACCCCCAACAGAATCGATCAGGCTTTTTGGCGCCGTTGTCGGGGAACCTTGATAACTAGTAGAAAATCATTAAGTTGCTAGTTACTCTTTACCTTTTTTTTGTTTGTTTCTGATAGACCCAGTTCTTAACCGATAAAATTTTAAAATATCAAACACCTGTCCTTTCATTAATACACTCGATAAATTGTTAATCATTGCGGTACCCGAAATACCCGAAAATTTGTATTATACCATCATAATCCTTCATTGTTTTTTTCCTTAAACTATTGTTATTGTTTTTTCCTTTACCTTCATTCACTTTCTTATTTTTTTCCTAAACTTCTTATTTGTCCTTTTACTTTTCCTATCTTTCCATAACCATTATTCTTGTCTCATTCTTCCTTTCCTTTCCCTCTCACGTCACACTACCTCCCTTCCATTTATTTTGCCCACATGAGAAAGACACAGAGACCTTCCCTCCCTTTCTCCTTCTTTCTCATTCTTTCTTTAATATACCTACACATCCATGTATATTCATGCATATAGGTTTATTCACATTCTTACATTTTCCTATACTTTCTCCATATCTTCCAATCACTCCTTTATTTTCCATTACATACTTATACTTTCCCATATACAATAATTGGTGAGGAATATTGGTGTATGATGAAGAATGTTAAGGTATAGCGGAGAATATTAAGGTATAGCGGAGAATGTTGGTGAATGTAAATGTAAGTCGAGGAATTTAACTACAACATTTTCCTATAAATAGGGAGCACCCCTCCCCCTTTCTAAACAACAATAAGTCACACACACACAAACCACATAAGTCGCTTACGACTACTTCACACAACACAACTCACACACAATATACACTCTCTCTACTTTCTCTCTCTAAAAACTTTTTCTCTCTCCTCCCGATCTCCCAAAAACGTGTTAACTCTCTAAACACTCAACACACTCTCAATTTGGCGGACTAAACCATGGAATCGTGGATAGTCTCCACCGGACGGCATTAAATAGCCAACGACGCTCTATTACGACCGTGGGACCGAACCAGGTCTAACGTCATCATATTTATTTTATTCCATTCAGATTACTAATTTGAGCGTCGGAGGAGGTTCCAACCAGGACCCCCCCCCCCCGGGGGACCTTTTTTTCAGGTATTCGCACGGAGTTGGAGGTGGTTAAAGGCTTTGGGAAATCAGCGCTCTCCGGACCTTAAACATATTGAAGCAGGCTGCTCTAACCTTGACATCAACAATTGGCGCCCACCGTGGGGCCCGGTGAGAAGAATATTTCCAAAGTTTTAACAAACCACCACCAAGCCGTGATGAATACCCAAGGTTCTCCCAGTATTCCTACCACTGAAGTAGTGCGTCGCTCTTTAAGAGTAATCGAAACTGGGGGCAACCCAACCCCCCGTTCACCACTCAGCGATACACCGAGTCAAAATACAGAGCCTCGAGTGGTGCCACTTGCACAGACTACCTCTATTCCGACACCAGAAGGAATTCTCACCCCTACTCCGACACAAGTACGTGAGATGTAGGCTGAGATTGAGCGACTCAGAGCTCAACTCAGAGCCAGAGAGGCCTCCCATATTAATGCTCCTGGTTCCTCCAGAGTACCGACACCAAACGACCAGGAGAGAGTTGTTGCCCATGGCTCGATCAATGAACCACCAAATGCGACATCAACACCTGTTGGATTAACCGTCCCGAGTCTCTCACCCAATCTACTCGAACCATCCCAAGGACATGGAGTTGTGATAGACCGTTATTTACACATGTTTTTACCCTCGTTCTTACACCGTTTGAGGTGTGGATTCTCGTGTTTTAGGCCGATTTCACGCTAGGTTGTGCTTGTTTGTGATATTTCAGGTACTAGTACGTGAATGAAGGCTTGGGAGCGAGTCTGGGGTCGATTGGACGAAGATCGGACGAATGGCGAGGTTTCAAGGAAGCTGCACGGGCAGACCATGGCATCGCACGGCCGTGCGAAGGCCAAGCCAGGCCGTGCGGAATTCTGCGAGAGCATGCACGGGCAGGCCAGAATTCTCACACGGCCGTGCCATTGAGCACCCTGGCCGTGTGGTTTTTGCCGAGGCCGAGCACGGGCTGGATGGAAACCCTACACGGCCGTGCACCCTGGCCGTGTGAGAAGCCTAAGATCGAACTAAACCATACGCCGCGTTTTGAGCCGCACGGCCAAAGTGGTGATCTGCACGGCCGTGCACCCTGGCCGTGCGAGTCGGGAAATCCTGGTTTTAGAGCCTATTCCAAGCCAAAAGTGGGAGAATCGTGTTTTCAGAGCAAAACAGAGCCCTAGAGAGAGAAAGTACGAAGAACACATCCTAGATGCTATCTAAGAGCTGGGTTTCATCGAATCGAGCTTGGAGATCGTCATAGGAGTGGAAATCATCGTCCCGGAGCAGATTTTCCTCATCGTTATGAGTATGACTAATCCGATTACTGTTTTCTCTTCTCTCTCTATGGAGTAGAACCCTTCTCTCACTTGGGTATGAAGAACCCTAGTTCCTTGTGTTAGGGATTTGATTGTAATGACTTGGGATGATATTACTGTTTGATTTTAATCGAATGATGCATGTTTATTGAATTGATTGGAGTCTGATCAGCTTTTCTCAATTTCTGCTGCAACCTGAGATAGATAGAATCTGATTAGGTTGTTAGAGCCTCTTCATTCGATAGTAGGAGATTGGCTATACGAGAGTTAGTCAGTTTACTGCTTTGTACTGGAATTCAATTCCAGTAGTGGAGTTCTGTGTTCATAGCCTCAGCTTTCTATCCCGGTGAAGACTAGTCGTCTGCCGGGTAGTTAGACTGAGAGGGCTTGGTCAGCTTAAGAGATTCCAAGCTACTGTCGGATCTTCCGCAGTCTAATCAACAGTAAATCAACCAAGGGAATTACAATTGAACCTAACTAAGGGGCTAGGGGGACTCAATCCCGAGTGACTCTTTCCTGACTTTGAAAACCGAACAATTTACTGCTTTCTTGTTGCTTTTGCTTTTCACAACAATCACTCGAACTAGTTTGCTAGATAATAGAGAATCACGGAGTAAGCAGTAGATCTAGACCCCGGGTTGATAATTGAACTTGCCTGTTACTGCATTCCCGGACTGCGATTACACTTGGTCGCAGTTTGGTGTTGTGTTTTGGCGTGTCAAGTTGTCTCTTCAACCGGAGTAGGAGGACCTCTATCCAGAATCGTGCAAGATGAGCCCTACCCACCAAATCTCCATTTACCAAGCTTTACAGAGTATTATGGCACCACAGATCCAGAAGACCACCTTTGCTCTTTTCAAATCCTAATGCCATTAATCGGAGCATCTGATGCAACAATGTGCAAAATCTTCCCAGCAACACTCCTTGGAGATGCCCGACGATGGTACTCAAAGTTACACGATGGTATTATCTCCAGCTTCTTCGAATTTTCCACTCTCTTCATATGCAAATTCTACGCATAGAAAAAACAGCCCATCGGCATCCATCAACTCCTCAGCATCAGGCAGCGTGATGATGAGACACTCAACGCATACTATGCTCGATATAATAACATCACCATCGGACTTACATCCATCTCCACGGAGATTGCCACCAATGCCCTGATGCGAGGGACTATCAACACTGATCTATATGCTTCTCTTGCAAAACGGGCTCCCCGCAGCACTATGGAGCTTCAAGAACGAGTTTCAAAATATATTGATCTAGAAGAGGCACTTCAGGAGGTTAGTCGGGCAGGATCAAAAAGAAAACTAGAGACTTCATCCCAGGATTCTCGCCGACAACGTCAAGTTCCTGTGCCTGAGGGCCGAAACTCTTCCCAAAATTCCAGAAGGGAAGCCACCCAGTTACAACAAAGCTATACTCCTCTTAACCGCTATAGACAAGCCATTCTTCAGGTCATTCGAGAGAACAAAATTCCCATTACTCAACCTCCTCCAGTTACGAGGGTTTCAGGAAAGGGCCAACAATTCTACTGCGAATTCCACCGCTGTGCAGGACATGATACAGAAAGCTGTTACACCCTCAAGCACTCTATTGAAGGACTTATCCAACGAGGCTATCTTCGAGACTTTGTAAAGAATGTTCTTCCCCCTATTCTCCCTTCACCTCCAATAATAGACAAAGGAAAAGCATCACAGGGAAGTGGATCGGTGTTGGGAAATGTTCATGTCATTCATGGCGGGGTCAAATTATCCGAACAAGTTGGTTCTCGCTCAACCGGTGCCCCAAGGTTGGTTGGTTCCGCTTCTACCACACAAATTCTCATATCTTTCTACGATAGGGATCTTGAAGCTATCGAGTATCCTCATGATGATGCCTTAGTCATTAAGGCAGCAATTGCAAACTATTCTGTGCAACGAGTCCTCATCGATGGAGGAAGCTCTGCAGATCTTTTATTCTACCCAGCTTTAAAGTCCATGGGTCTTCAACTAAACAAATGTCACCCTCCTAGCATTTACCTCGTGGGCTTCTCCGGAAATCAAGTCTCAGTTCTGGTGATTCTCTCACTCCAAGTTTGTATTGGCAATGACCAACAAACCGTAGAGAACACAATCAACTTCCATGTTATTGACTGCCCTTCTGCGTACAACTGCATTCTCGGGCGCCCTTTTCTACATCAAGTTCGGGCTATACCCTCAGCTCTGCACTTAAAATTGAAGTTCCCAACTATTGCCTGAGTCGGGTGTGTGAAGGGAGATCAAGCTCTTGCAAGACAGTGTTGTGAGTTCTCCCTTAAAGATGGCTTTGTGGCCAAGATGGAAGCCAAAGACGAGGTCGCTCGTCCCGTTCTCGTTGACCCTAATGAAGAACATACATTAGAAGAAGGGCGAACCGTTCGTGTATCCATGGCATGGCCTAAAAATTATCTCCCACAACTTCTCAGTTTGATGATCGAGTACAAAGAGCTCTTTGCTCAAGGACCTGAGGATATGCCTGGTCTCGATTCAAAAGTTGTCGAGCATACACTAGGGATTATCCCAGGTAG